GCGGAGGGAGCGTGTTGTGTTTTGTGGGTAAGTGTATTTATTCTGAGCACTTCTCATAATAAAAAGCTCTGTTTGTCCATTTCTGGTACATTTTTATCAGGATTTCCCCTCCTACCAAATTCAATAGACTCATTTTAAGTTTTCTGACAAAAATTTGATCACACTTTTGCCACATTACAACTACAAGCAAACTGTAAACGTACTCTGGAAATACGGTTGTGATGTTTTCTCGGGTATTAACATAATCAGCTATTGAAACTTGCAGATGAATTCTTCTATTAAAACAAATAATGTAACAAACTAATGTGACATGTCTGTGTTTGGTTTCCTCCCTTATTCATGTGATGTTTTGTGTCCAAATACAGATACAAACAACAGTCAGCCAATCAATTTATTAAGCTTAAAGATTTAATAATGGAATCAATATCCAAAAATGTTTGGGGGCAAAATCAGGGAATAATTGCCCTTGTTTTCTCCATTAACAATCAGTGCTCTGGCTCTTAAAGGGTTATACAGAGGGGGTATGTGCGTCACAGGTAGGCCCCATCCATCACTGCAACGCTTCCTGTGGGTGGATCACATGATGGACCCTGTGATGTCAGATCTCTTAGCATGGTGGCGGAAATGGAGGTGGTGAAGAGGGAGAGGGGGGTAAACCAACAGAGGAGAGATATTTTTGTCTATCAGTGTAGAGACAGAGAGAGAGAGCGAGAGAGAGAGACAGAGAGAGAGAGTGGTGGTGCTGAGCCCGCAGTCGAGTAAAAAAAAGGGCAGGCAGTAGCTGGAAAAGGATGTAACACACACGACACATTCTTTCATTCTCCTTCCTTTTTAATTTATAACACACCCAATACAAAATGTGAGCTAATTGCTGCAAAGACTTAAACAAGACAAATTTGCTCCGTGTGCATTAATTTCAAAATAATTGTCAGTGAATTGGCCCACAGTTTATCTAATCAATGTGTAAAATGAAGGCGTGGGAGGGTTCAGCCTTACTTTGGTGTTGAACCATATGAAGCATCATGGGCGGAGCTATGGCGGGGGGGATTAGGGTATCTTCTGGGCCCCAAAGCCCCAAATTAATATTGCAAATCTATTAGAGAAATATCACCATCTCATGTGTTAAATTCGCCCATGCATTGTCTCAGGTGGCTTGACGATCACACTAATCACGTGGAATCTGAACTTTTCATATGTGTGTTGTTTTTTTTGTAATACGACCGCAGTGTGAACATTCATATCAGCATTCATGTGACTTTTTTACGTCACTCTAGATCGACATTTATCTCTTTATCTCTTTATCTCTTATCTTGCAGTGTGAATGTAGCTTTAGTCATCATCAATATGTGTTGGTTTCAGGATGATGAAGAAAGTTGGAGAACAATTAGATGCATAATCTGATTTAATCTAACTCTTTTACCTCAAATGGCTTGAAAAACAGTGAGTATAGCTGCTGTAAATGGGGGGAAATGCACGGAGCGCATAGGGAGCAAGTTTAAGTAATAAGGACATTTGACTATGAAAACATTGTGGTTGATCAATCACTATTAGGATCCATAGAAACCTACACAACACAGTGACTGTTGTTCATGAAGATTGAAACAGCAGCTTTGGTTAAGTTACTGTTTGCTGTACAAAAAAACAGAATCAGAAATCTGGACAAAAACCCAAAGAAACAACAGTATTTAATGGGCTAAAAGATGAAGAGATATGTTTGTTATATGTTTGTGCTGCATTCTCTCAGGATTACTGACGTGATATCGTTAAGTTTTCCGGATACAAAAACACTCTATATGTAGCCTTTTAGTGTGTCCTACTGTAATAATGTGTGTCATGTGACAGATAAATGTTCTAAATTCTTCCAACATGAGTCAACACGATGAGCTGAGGAGTAACCTCAGGCCCTCCGGCAATAATTTTTTTTCCATCAGTGACTGGGTTAATGCTGCATGTCAGTGTGCAGTGGGGATGAGCTGTCAGGAATTCTTGGCATCAGTTGGAACGGTGAAACTTACTCCGTGCCATGGCACAGAGGAGATCAGGAACGTTTTGTTCTGAATTGAGCAACATGTGGTTTTGTACCTGAGGCCCTTTGAAGGTATTTAACAGAAACAAGCATCCATTGTCTGTTGGGAGACAGAAACTTTTTGACCTACTTTCACCTTTCATGTCTATTTCTAAAGCTAATTGATGTGATATGTTGTTTCTCTGGCAACTGGTTTGACAAGGCGTATACTATAGATGTAATTAAATATTTAGTTAACTATAGATAAATGTATTGATCCAACAATTACAGTGGCTGAACGGCAGGCATGTGACTTTGTGTGAGCATGTGTGCTCAAAAATAAAACACAACCTTATCTTCGATCTCTTCTTTTTGCAGCACTTATCTTTTCACATGATCTATATATATATATATATATATTATCTGCCAGAGCAATGCACTACTGTTACAGTCATTATAATTTATTATATTATATATATTTTAGAAGAAGATTAACATCATCCCCATTTGGGGTTCTCTCTCCACCTTCGAGTGTATAAACAGTTCAGCCTTCCCATTAGGTAGCCTTAAGTAACATTCAGTCACCTTAAATATGTGACTAGCTCAATTCTGATTAAAATAAAAGGTCAGGGGTCTATGGATAGCTCACATGATAGAGCTGGCACCCCATATATCAAGGTTGAGTCCTTGCTGCAGCGGCCCAGGGTTTGACTCCCATAATGCTGTCACCTTTTCCTGTCACTGTCACTTAAAGGCAATAAAGAGCCCCCCCAAAAATATGAGTGAATAAATAAAAAAATAAAGATCACATCATGAAATACCTAAAATGTTAAACATAAAGGGTTCTGTGGTTGGTAAACATGGTGGGAGCAGTGCGTTGTGTCACTGTATGGAGTTTTTTGCTATGACTCACCTCTTTAAAGGGACAAGAATGGGATTTTGGTTCAACATATTTCTTTAGGATTAATTTAATTTTAGGGATACTTTGAGATTAAGATGATTTTTTTCTTTTTTTGTTTTAAATTTAGCATGTTATGTTCAGTAAATA